AGTTAGGCAAAAAAAAAAAAAAAAAAAAAACAAGCTTATTAAATGCATCACTTAAATATACAGCAGGTAGACATTTTTACACACATACAACATTTATCAGAACGACATGTGTACAAAATTTTATGGCTGGCAGCGTGAGATACTGATATAGTTCATTATCAAGAATAATGTATACATGAAATAAAATTACTGAATTTCACAAAACAATATTATCACTATTAAGCACACATATACATGAGTGCCATCTTGATACATTACCTACATGTAACTACCTGACATAAATCCATGTGTACCATTCCAATTCCAGATTAATCAGAAGAAAGTTACAAAGTTTTGAAAATAACAGCATTAGATGCACAAAGATTTCAGAATTAAGTAAGCAGAATGAGGAATTTCAGAACTGAGTTCAATGAGGTATATACACAATTTTAAACCTATATGCATATAAAGTTACGCAAAAAAAACCAAGCTTGTTAAGTATAGCCCTTAAATATACAGCAGATAGACATAAAATACACTTTTTGTTAATAACGAGCCACGTTACAAATAGAGCACGTAAAGCAAAATTGTAGCAGAATGCGAGCGCCACCTAGTGATGAATTTCGCGAAAGCCACTGAAAACTGGGACCCAGAATTTCGTTCAGTCTGGCAGACCTCGAGTATAAATTGGCCTTGGACAGACATAGTAGACAGAAGTCTTGTTTAGCATCCGCTAAGTGTTTCTGCTCAGGTGGGCGAAAAATCAAGCTTAGATGCGAAGGAAAGGTATATAGAAAACGAGCAATTTCGTATTTCAGAGGCGAGAAAAGAAATTTCGTACTCTTTATACGAGTTCAAAAGGCCAGAAAGGGAAAATGGGACAAAATAGACAGATGTCCTGTTTTGCACTCGCTAAGTCTTTCTGCACCGATGGGCGAAAAATCAGGCTTAGGTGCGAAGAAAGGGAGGCAATTTCTGTTTTCAGAGAAAAGTAAAAAGAACTTCGTATTGTTTTATACGAGTTCAAAAGGCCTGGAAGAAAAATTGAAACAAAATAAATTTTAAAATAAATGGCCCATAGTAGTTAAAAGGAGAAAGGAAAGGATAAAAAAAATGGGCCTCGAGAGGACAGACAGACAGACAGACAAAGTAGACAGATGTCTTGTTTTGCACCCGCTAAGTCTTTCTGCACCGATGGGCGAAAAATCAAGCATAGGTGCGAAGGAAAGGTATATAGAAAGAGGGGCAATTTCGTATTTGAGGAGAGTAAAAAGGAACTTCGTACATTTTGTACGAGTTCAAAAGGCCAGAAAGAAAAGATGGGACAAAATAAAATTTAAATTAAATGGCCCAAAAATAATAGAGGGGAAAAAAAAGGGCCTATAGAAAGAAAAGGAAAAGAAGTAGAAAATACCCTAAAATACGATTGTGTCCATGAGCGTAGTTAAGGAGTTCATCTACAAAAATGCGTGTCTTTAAGAAGCAAACTTTAGCTAAGTTAAAAAAAAATAAATGAATGAATGAATGAATTCCTACATGGTAATGTGTATGCCGTTATCTTGAGACCTAACAAGAAAAGACATATATCATCACAGAGATGTACATAATATTTTAACTAAAGTAACATTAAATATTACCGTTCCCAAAAAATTCATGTATATTTCATAAAAACAGTAATTGACAAAATCATAAATCCATACACAATGTGAGAGCATTTCAGCAAAAATAAATTACACAGTTTATTTTTCTTAAATATTAGTTAAATATAAAATTAATTTATTAATTAACCATTGTAATTTATTATAGTACAACTTTAACAAATTCCGTCACACTGTATTTTTATTTGCTCATAATTCTAAGTTTGAGACCTGAAAAAAAAAAAAAAAAAAAAAAAAAAAAAAAAAAAAGTCGGGGATCTTAGTTACAAAAATCACAATCTATACTCATCGTTGGTCAAGAGATCCCCATTTTTTCCCTCTCAAGAAATTCCTAAGCACGAAGAGGGGGGCCTCCGAAGGGTGTGAATTGCTGATAAGAACAGACTACTGATAAGGAATGTGGCGTCTCTACGGAATAGTTACGAAGAAAAGAACCATATGACTTGCTACTATTACTAACTATTGTATAATGCTAGAATCTTATGAAAAATAATAAATAAAAAAATTTAATTGCACTCTAGTGATAGAGAAACATATAATGTATAGAGAACAGAATGTTACTTATCTGAATATTCCGTGTCAGGGCCTCTTTTGGATTTCTCGTGTTGATAGTAAACAGCTAACAAAACACCTGAAGTTTCGATGAAGCGAAGTTTCCTTTTTCAATTTGATGAATGAGACATTGCATAGGAAAGGTGCGTTAAACTTTTTTAGAGAGTTGAAAATATTTACTGAAACAGTTATTTAAAAAATTTCGGAGCTATGTTTAGACACTGCCTCCAGCTTTCGTGATCGCAGCGCCAGCACCAAAACCGTCATGGAAACAATAAACCGGGCCTCGAGAGGAAAAGGAAGAGAAGTAGAAAATATAAATGTCTGTCATCATCCCCAAATGTGTTATAGCGTCCACTGCTGTGTCTGTATAGATGTGTCATAAACAAACAAACAAACAAAAAAAAAAAAAAAAAAAAAACCTCCTCTGATTAGGAATGTAACGTGAAGTAAAACATAAATTTGGAATATATAGATACCATAGCATAATTTTGTAAATGAGCATATAAAGGAGATTTAGTTTGTAACTTATAAGGTATATAATATATCATATAATTTTGAGCACCACTGGGAGGACAAGGCATGCTAATATAAAGAAAACCTTACCGGTAAATACGTATGCAAACTGTTTTTAATTTTGAGATCCCCGGTCGTTGTTTGAAGGATAATTTAGTATAACTGGTTTCTGAGTCGTTGAAGCTGTCCCAGCACTTTGTATTGCACCTGTAGTAATAACCTAAGTAAGTCTTGTTGTTGTCATATGAGGTGATTATAATTTCAAATAAAGTAATCCTAGCAGCAATCACCTGATGAATATGTAGTCTACAACTCAAGAACACTAAGGAAGTGAATCCTGAAATAATCTGGGACAAAATTACCCAACTCCCCACGCATTGTTATGCCAAAATGAAAGTGAGATTTACGAGGTCAAAGGATAAACATTACTAATCTAAAATATAAATAATTTGGCCGATTGCGGTTCTCTAGCCATAAATTTTAACGAAATTGAGTATTAGGTTGGTACGTCGCTAGCAGCCAGATGTTCACTGATTAACATTTGGTAATTATATTATAAAAAAAATTGTTCCAGTTTTTCTGAATTTTCTGTTTTTATTCTCTCTATCTCTTCAGAGACTAATTTCTTCAATTCCTTTTCATTGTGTGTTTAAACACGAAAAAGAGCACAAAGCATTGTGTCTCGAAGTGATATAGAATTTCTGTTAAGTAAAATGCTTCATTGCTATGACTGAGCCACAACAGTTTCTTGATCACTGTACAGGTAATGCCATTCGACTGCAGTTGTTCGGAAGATTATTATTGATAAGGCGGATGCTGGGTTTTAGTACGCCATTTTCGTAGATGCTCATCATTATTTGAAAAAGTTTTGATTTTTAGAAATATGTCACGGCGTTCCCAATTATTTGTTGGTCGTTTGCCTCTAGATTCCAGAGAAAGAGATATTGAAGCGTTATTTGAAAGATATGGAAGTTTGGTTAGATGTGATTTGAAATATGGTAAGTAATGGCTTCGAAACAATTTAGGTAGTAGTTGTGTTACGTAAAATGTGATTAATAAATATATTTTTATAAAACTGAAATTATAAATTTACAAAATATAATGTTTAAATGCTTTTTTATGTAATAATTGACATGCCCGACATTATTTTGTTATCTAATGAGTATTTTCATTTTTTATCGTCTCGATCTCAATGAAATTAAATTTGCCCTAGGTATAAATAAATAATAATTCGAAAGGAAAAATTGTTTCTGCTTTTTCTTTAGCAATAATTTAGAGAAATTTTTTAATACAAACATTACGGTATTAACTTTTTAACACCTGATCTGTTTTTAAGAGCAATAAACAAAACATTTAGGAGTTATTTAAGGGCTGAAACGGTGATAATGTGTGTCAAATTTGCATTTAATTTTTTTGTATACATTCAAGATATTCTGAAAGGGAATTTTAACCTGAAATAGTTTTTCTTTTTGGATTTTCAGTTGATCATAAATTTATTGACTGAATTTAAAAATTCTTGCCTTCCCTTCCTTGAAACTCCAGTACACTTTGTCTGAAATAGGATTAAAAACATTATCCTCTAACAGAAAGCTGAAAAGGAAAGATGACACATCATTAATAAGAAACAATACAATGTTATTTTATTAGCTTACAGTATAGTTGTTCAGTATTGTACTCGTATTTTTGTAAATAAAGGGTATTGTACATTTTGTAGAAAATAAGTAAGCATTATATTTAATAATTAAAACAATTATTGATTATTTAATAAGTCTTTGTAAGAATATAATTCAATATTTTTTGGGAAATATATTTTTTGAGGATATTTTCTTCTTTAGAAATCCCAGCATTCAATTGTTTGAAGCATTAAGTCCTAAGAAATTGTCTTGCTTTAAAGCAGAATTAATTATTCACAGGAAGTCCCTAACCAAAGAAAATGCCTTACAAGGGTGTATTATAAAACAACAGTTTTTATTACAATAAATATTTTTATTTTAATACAAATAATAATTATACAAACAAATATTTAAATTCACTATAGTGAATAAGCGTACTGGATGTTGATGTTTGTTCTGGATTTGTCGCTATTAACCAAACAAGTTACCGGGCTTGGTGTCTTTATACTTTTCCCCACGTTAATACAAGCCAATTTCATTTTGAAAATTTTTCAAGAAGGTATTTCTCTTAAATCAGATAGTCCAGGACTATTTTAACAACTGTAAAAAATAATCTATGAATATTTTTCGTTATACGAAAACACGAGCAAAATGATTTTCTCTGCAAAAACATATGCACCAGCACTGCTTATCGGCCGCCGTTAACTTTATCGTTCTTATTCTTTGCAGTACTTTTTTCTTTTTTTTCAAAGAAATTTTTGTCAGTAAAATGCACTATTTATAATCTGTCATTTTATTTTGTTCTTCTGTTATGTAAATAACCAACTTAAAATACATATTTCGTAAGCTGAAAGCCCAATAGACCGCGAGCGGTAAGATAGTTGAGCATGGTAAATCCTAGCAGCTGCACGGGGATGTATCGCGAGTTACCAGCCTCTTTCCCTCAAAAAGTCTCTTTTTTTTAGGCAAGTACCCCCTGTGTGCTTTACTATAATCAAAAATCGTAAGCTTAGAAACCTTTTATCCTACACGAAATGAGTTGACGATAATACATTTTCTGTTCGATGTATAGAGTTAGCATCCTCGTTTGTTTCTTTCTATTCAAAACCGTTTAGCGCATGTTACCTTATTATTAAAAAGGGTTCAAATTGGTTTTTAGCTTAAACATTATTTTCAGTATTAAACATAACACCAATTAAGTCAATAGTATTCAATTTTAATCGTAGAAATAATCATAAATATAATGTACACAAAAGCTGCAGTAAAATAAATTTATATGAAATTTTATATCATAAAATTTAGATTAGAATTGTTCACAGCACTTGAAGATCATGTGCCTAAAAGGAGTTGCGTCTTGTAAAGGATGTTTAAAGGAAAGAATTCATATTACGTTCACATGAGGGAAAACCAAGAAACCTCCCCTGCAATAAACCCATTTGCCGAGATTTGAATTCCTTCAAATTACCAGTCTATAGCAAGCTCACCGATCTTAGCGCTCAGGGGTCACTCATATTTAAAAAATTGCTTATGTGTTATAAGAAAAGAGGAATAGAAAAATGTAATAAGAGAACAATAATTTAATTCACTTAAAAGAGCATCTTTTTCTTTTCTTTTTTTTTTTTTTTTTTTTTATGTACAGAAGATAGAAATGTGTTTTCAGCTGAGTTCATTCATCAGAGAAAAACTTTGCATATAAAGCTGTTTTTTGAAATGTGTCACTATACAAGTAATACAAATTCAGCATAGAAATTTTTTTCTCACATGCACCCAAACGCACGCATTACCCTTTCCTGGATTTGAAGAACTCGCAAAGAGAGTAGAAATATTAAAAAATTTTATTGTCTGACTGATTGCTTTGGGAACAAGTAGTCTTTCAGTCACTCAAGCTCCGACGCATTTAAATGCGAACGGTTCTCAGAAACTATACGAGCAAACAGGGCCAGCGGGTTTAGTTACATTACATTACAAAGCAGAAGATAAAATTAGTGTCCACTATGTTAGAGAGAAGGCCTTTTGGTGGTGAAATCTGTCAATGCCTACATCAAGGGTTGGGCTGTTATCAGTTGATCTACGTCCGTAAAGAAATACCACAGAAACATGTGTTCAAAAAGACCAGTTTTATACTTCTAATACTTTCGGTCTGACAGCAAGATTAAAAAAAAATAAGTTGTTTTCAATATAGGGAAGAAAAAAGTAATAATCTAATTTAAATTGTTTTTCACAAATCAAGTAGGAAGATAAAATATTTTCTTAATATATATATATATATATATCCTCAGATTATTTTACGAGTAATGCTTTTCAAGTTACGAAAATCTCACTTAAGTGCATGTATTTTCAAATCAGATTTATTTAATGTATATAAATTTACTAAACTATTTGTTGTGATCACACTTTTTACGTTATATGCATTTATTTTAGTTTTGCAATGTGTGTGTTTTATTTCGGTATATGCATTTATTAGCCTTTGTTATCAAATTTTGTCCAATTATTTGAATATGGCAAAGGAAACAGGATCTTGTTTGTCTAAGGATAGACAAGTCGCCATGGTGGGCTTTTTAAGTCAAACTTACTCATATCCATGTGACACATGGGAAAACTATGAAACCCAACCATGCAGACAGCTTGTTCGTTTGGGTTTTCGTGCAGGTGGAACTAATAGTAATCAGCGGTCTTAGCCAGGTGGGTCATTGGTGGGGTCCAATAGAATTTGAAAACCTGATAAATCGTATTTAATAAACATAATATTAGTAAACAAACCAGATTTATAAAACAAAAATAAAATGCTTATATCGGACATAACTAAATCTCGATATAACACATAATTACACTGATAAAGTGGAGTGTTATATCACTGAATTCAAATACTAAACGGAATATACATAATTCTACATATAGAATTATTTTAGCAAATTTCGTTGGGAATGTCTGTCGGCAAAATCCTTATTATATACATCGTTATTTTAAATTTATCGCATATCTCGTATTTTTACTCTTACCTCAAAAAACACTTTAATTTACAAATAACTTTATTTTTATTTAAAATTAATAACTTTTTCCCTTATAGAAATTTCTGTTGATCTTTTCAGTTATAGGATAACACGCGCAAAACAATTTTCTCTACGCAAATATATGCGCTAGTAAGAAAATGCACTTCGACAGCAACTCATTTCGATAATGGTAAAATTTTTCTAAACATAAGAAATTTGTTACTTAAATTCATTTTTTCATTAAACAAAAAACAAAACATGAGACATTATTAAAAATGTTTCATTGACATTTCATATTCTGAAAACAAGAACATTGCTATAAAATCAAAGACAAAAAAGGAACAGCATATTTCATTTAACGGGGACCAACTTTGACGCATAAACTTTTAAACACAAAATATTTTAAACATGCTATTCTGTATTTGTTTGATTTATTTGATTAAGGCAAAGCACTCGAGGGTTATTTACATAAGGGAAAGGATGCCTTAGTGGAGGACTTTCTTATAGGAACCGGCTTGTGTACAGGCTACACATGAGAAAGACACGACAGCATCCATGTAGCTAGCACTTTCGCCGACCTTCGAACCCCGAATAGAACTACCAGTATTCCATTGTGAGCTAGCTTAGATAACGGAAAAGATTAAAATCTCATAACAGACGCAAAATGATAGCCTGTATAATACGAAGTTATTGCCATTTCAATAACATAAAATGACTCGCGATATTGTATTTTATTTTATTTAGCTCATGACAAAATAAACGAGGACTATTTGGTAGTTTAACCTTGATTCAGACCCCTGTTAACTGGCTCACCACATCTGCGTTTTCGTGAATTAATCTATATGTAACACCGGTAAGAGATAGTTTCCCGTAGAAAGTCTTTCACGAAAGCATACCCTCTTTAGACAGATCGCCCTTTGCGAGCTATGTCATTAATCTAACAATCCAAACGTATTCCCAAGCAAGGACTCGTATTCAGAGCATGTCTTCATGAAGGACTTTTTAAATGAGGTTGGCTTATGTTCGCGTTAAATATAGGCAGCAAAAATCCACGCAAACTGCCATGTAGCCAGCCCATTTGCCGGAATTTAAACTCGCTTCAAAGTCCCAGTTTCTACTAGGTCGCTGTGGATTTTTGTTGTATCTTTATAAAAAATCTTTGCAAAAGCCTCGAGGGCTATCTGCCTAAAAGGAGGGATGCTATTGTGGAGGACTTTCTAAAGGATACTGGCTCGTATACACGTTACATGTGGGGAAAATCACGAAAACGCCTTTGCAGTTAGCCTGTTCGAGGATTTGAACCTCAGACCAAATTACTAATGTTCAGCGACGTTTACTGATGGGCCGCTGGTAGGCCACAATTATTGAGAACCAACAGATTAAGTTAGGAATTTA